TCGACAGTGCAGTCACCGCTTTTTTGTCGTTTTCTATTGGTGAAAAGTACTTTTAGTTTCTTTCACAGGTGTTATCGTAGTAAGAAAACGTCGCCTTGGCGGGGAGGACCTATCCAACTGGAAGCCGAGACTGATCCTGCGTTTGTTAGGGTATCCCTACAGAGAAGTCTCACTCCAAAGCCTTTTGAGTGGTTAAGCAATGAATTCTGCACCCCGATGTGCTAGGGTGGAAAGACTGGGTTTGTCAGATGTGTCTTAAGGTTTGGGACCTTGCTTCAGAGACAGCCTGGGGTCCTGGGGTAGATCCGCAGAAGAACTGGAGGGGTGCAGCCCAGGTGGGAGGTTCTCCTCAGTGCAGGGTGCTTGGGCCTGCAGAGGAAGGTTCTTTTGTTTATGCCTCGCCTGGTTCCACATGGGAGTCCCAGGCCTGGGGGCGTTTGCATTTGGGTGGAGAAGGACCATTTTGGGCGGTGTGTTTGGGGTTTCGTTTGGTTTTTTTCCTTCCGTTATCACTTTCATCCAGGAGCCAATCTCAGTACTATCCAGGGCTTTGAATCGGTTCGTTTGGGTTTGAGCCCCTGCTGAGAATTTGCATTTCTAACAAGTTTCCTGCTGAGAATTTGTATTTCAAGTTCTCAGGACATTATACATTCGAATCACCTGGGGATCTTGTTAAACTAAACGGTAGATTCTGGTTCAGTATATCTGGGGTGGAAAAAGCCCTGGCTATCACCCATTTTACAGATGAGTAGATTGATGATGAGGGGAGTAAGTAGCTGTGAAGTTCTCAGCTAGGAGAGCCTCACTGAGAAGAGTGCGTGAAGAGGTGCAGCCCACCCAGGATGGTGCAGGGGAAGGTCTTAGAGGCCCTGCCTGGGGTACGCCCTGCCTGGGGTGTGCCCTGCCTGGGGTAAGCCCCACCTGGGGTACACTGGGTCCCGCCCTGTCTTTGGCAGTCCGTGGGGAGTGCCTTTGCATCATACAATCTTCCTGCTCTGAAGCGCCTGGTAACACAGTGCTGATTGACTGTGGCTCCTTGGGTTGAGGAAGGTGGAGTCGCTGATGGTCAGCGGGGCTCGAATGGTGGCTGCTCGTTATGGGTCAAGGTGTAACCATTGCCTGCTTTCTGCTGACAGCGGGAGGTCTTAGGAATGGATGGGCAAATCTTGGGGACCAGCCTCTGCCTGGGATGAGGGTGGCTTTGCACCTGTGGCTCTGTCTTGCTGCTGAAACTTTCCTTCTGTGTGTGATCTGGTCCAGGGTGGGGAGGGGGCTGCCGGTCTCTTAGGGCACCCCAGCACTGAGACCGAAGGCTGCCCTTGTTATCTGTCACATGGTCAGAGGCGCCAGGACGGCCTCTCTGGGCAGCTCTGTTCCGTTGTCAGAGCAGGGGCAGCGGCCAGTGGCGGGTCTGGCACAGGGGCACCCCGGGTCACCCTGCTGCCTGCTCCTGGGCTCTGCCTCAGCCCCTCCAGAGCGCACCGAGCGTCATTTTGCCCCCACACACTATACCCACAGCTGAAGAGGCCACCCCTCTGCAGTGTCCGAAAGCTGGCCTGGGGGTCAGAAGCCCATTCTGATGCCTGGCCCTGGCTCAGACGCGGTCATTACCCGAGCAGGGCGCGGGGCTAGCCTGTCCTGGCTGTAGAGATGATTCCCAGGTGCTTCCTGCCCTCACGACCCCCCCCCCCGGGGGCTGCAGCACACTGGGGAGTCATCGGGAGGCTGGAGTGGGCTGTGCCTCGGCAGTGGGGGCTGGGAATCTTCCTCGGACCTGGGCCTGCAGGGCAGGAGTGGGTCATTCCATTCAGAAGGGTCAGTGAGGCACAGGGTTTGAGCAACTATTTTGACAGTAAAGAATTTTCAGAGACGCTGGATTCCCAGCTGGTCCGTCAGCCTCTGGCCTGGTGCCTTGTCCGCCCTCAGCCCAGCGACGGAGACCTTCACCAGCACAGGTGGGCTCATGCTTTCCTCTGCTCAGACCCTGGGAACTCCGAGCTCCGCTCCGCGGTAGCCCAGGTCCTCACACCCGTGAGACCCTCACGATCTGCCACCTGGGTGGGCCGCTCTGCATGGCTGTTTTCTGGGATGTCACTTCATGAGCTCCTGACCACCGGATCTGAGATTGCGGCACCTCCCACCTCTCCTGCCCTCTATCCCATCGCGCCCGGCACGTTCCAGCCCCCTCAGAGTTCCCTCACCCGTGAGCCCCCAGGTCAGTATGACTGCTCGGTGTCCCCCACTGCCTAGAAGAGAGCCGGCTCACCCTGGTTCATGTTACACGAAGGAGGCGTGCTGTCCCGGCGAGGGAGAGCCGGGCGCGTGCCCCTTGACCACACGGGCAGATGGTGCACAGCGCTCTGTTCCTGTGGGTCAGAGCCCGCCACTGAGCGCGAAACGGCCAGGCTGGCGCTCAGGAACTGTGGGGCTGTAAAGAGTAGCTCTGGTTTGGTCCTAGCTTGGGGTTCTCTTTTTGGGACTTCATTTTGAGATCAGGTAAGGTAAGAACCTTTAAAAGGTACACTCTGGGATCAGAAGTGCTGAGCTGGGGGCGTCCCAGGCATGCGGGTTGGTTTGCGGTTGTGGGAACCAGATGCCGGACAGCCGCTCCGCGCCAGTGGCCTCTCGGCGTGTCCGTCGCCATCTCGCCCTGACGGCCGGCCCTGGCCTCTGGGCTGTGGGTTTTCTACCGAGGCGTTCCCTTCCGGTCGCGGCTGTCTCTGTTAATGAGCCCGTGTCTGGTTGTCGGCCCAGGTCTGTAGGACCCTCAGGGTGGCACCAGAGACTGCCCCGCGGGTTTCTCGGGTGGCGGGGTCACGCCCCCTCTCTCCACATCTGCCTGTGTCATTGGCTCCGACAATATGGTTCTCGAACCCGAGAACAGGGCCACCTAAGGGCTCCCTGAAGCGCGTCGCTGGGCCCCTCAGAGTTCCTGACTGGATCCCAAGAACGTGCATTTCCAACCAGCGCCCTGGGGCTGCAGCAGGCCCAGCGAAGTGTCGCCTGTCTGGTTCCCTGTTGATGTAACACCTCTTGTAGAAACTGGGTTTTGGTGCGGCGTTTGTTCTGTCTGGGGGGTTTCCCGTCCCAGAGTGGGGTGAAGCCTCTTGGGGTTTATACTGGAAGGTGTGTGTGATCTGAATTGCTAAGGAAGCCATAGGCATCCCAACGGGTAAACACCTGGGCCAGGTGGGCTGTCGGCCTGAATGGCGGGAGAGGAGGTAGCAGAAGCAGCGGGAGGCCCGCACTGCAGGGCGGTGCGGGGCCAGGGAGACGAGTGCTGGCTGGGAGTCGGGGCCCTGCCCTTGGCAACAGGTTCCCCGAGAAGTGGCGATCTCACCAGAGTCTGGGGCTAACATTGTGGCCGAGGACAAGGTTGAGCAGAGTGTCGTCAGAGTGTGAGGTCAGTTCCGGACCCCATGGAGAAGATGTGTGTGTGGGTGCTGCGGGCACCCACGCCCTTCGGAAGGTGCAGGTGGTCAGCCTTCCTGTGTGTGAGCTTAGAGGAAGCCCTCTGCCTGGTTGAAGCCTTGTTCTCTGTTTAAACACCCTGTCTGGTATACCTGAGGTGCTCTTCACTTGTGGTGAAGCAGGACACGACAGGGACTGCAGGCTCCTAGCGTCTGATTGGAAAGGCTGAGGGGCCAGGCCTTGAGCAGCCATCATCAGGGTGCTGGGGAAGCCCACCCTCCCGCAGCCACCTACCCAGCTCCATGGAGCAGCCCGCCTGGCTCCACGGAGCAGCCCGGGGCAGTCTGCCCCCCTAGGGGCCCTGTGTGGACACTGCCGGCCATCCCCTGGGTTTTCTTTGGGCCTTTGACTTTCCCAAAGCGAGAGGCAGGGGCTTGACTCAGCCACTGTTTACTGGGTGGCCCAGACCCCGGGCTGGGTCTGTGGGAGAGAGGCAGTGTGGAGACACTGGGGGGTAGCCTGGGATGTGCAGTGGGGGGCGCCGGGGGCTGCCTTTGGGGTTATCCCCAGACGGCATGACCTGTCCTCCGTTCTGGCGTGCTTCCTCACTCTGCCACCCTCAGGAGTGAGGGTCGTCCTGGCAGGGGCCTGGGCTAAATTCCAAGCACCTGGCCCTGAGCCGAGGACCGGACAGTACCCCCACTCTCATGTGAGCCATTGAGGACATACTGGCAGGGGGCTCTGTCACTGCCCCCCAGTCTCAGGCCAGCGCTCCTGACATCCCTGCTTTGCTGTCCTATGGGTCTGCCTGGCGGGGACACGTCCAGTGTCTGCTGGGCCGAGTGGCCGTGCTGGATGTGGAGCCTACCACCAAGTGTCCCGGCCCTGCCACCCCCCAGCTCCGCCCACGGCTTCGCCTCTGAGCCTCTGTCCCCTCACGTGAAGCAGGGGCCACAGTGTGTGTGCGGCGCCGGGGTCAGGGGGCGCGGAGTACAGGAGGGGCC